GTCTCACCGGTTATATTTCCTTAGGGGCGCCATGCGGAGCGCCAGGGCGACCGTGGCCGCGGTCATCCGCCGGCCGGCGTAGCGTTCCAGCTCTGGTCTCCGGGGGTTGGCGGTGAAGAAGGCCGGCGGCCCAGGTGACCGCCTGGTCCCCTGAGCGAAACACCTCCGCGAGGCGGGAGGGAAGCCTTTGGCTGCGCGACCTGAAGCCCGAGCACCCCGGGAAGGACGCCCTCGGAGGTGCGATGCCTTTGTCGCCGCGGCTTTCGGCACGGGGTGGATTGTCACTGTCCGCAGCCTCAGAGATGTCCATCTTCCCGACGGCCGTAGTATTCAAGTAGAGAGATTTTGTAGAGGCATTGTGTCCTGTGAGATGTGTATCGGTGTTTATTCTGTGTTACTTCATATTTGTCTAGATTAGAGAACCGTGGAACATCCGAGCGGTGGACATATGCCAGTGAGACCACCTTTTATTCCCCCCGTGTTATTGCCCGTGATACTACTGTGGGAACCTTAATTTTAATTCAGATGTCTCCATTTAAATTTGACACTGGAATAGGCATTAAGATTTATTTTTCTGTTAACACAAGAAGAATTTGAAGACTTCAAAGTATCGAGCAGAATCGTTGATACTTAAAAAATGTATTGGCCCTGCATTCTCATAGGAGGACATGTCTTCTCTCCGGGACTATATCTGTTCTGTTGAGTAATGGATTATAATCAGAATGGAAGAGAGAAAGCATATTGACTTTTTTGGGTGACATCTCTGACTTTCTTTAGTCTTTAGCTATTACTGGATCTCTTAAGACAGCATGTGTCCGTCCTCATGTATATTGTTATCACTGTGCAGTTGCTGTTTACTTGGAAAGTATTGTATTCCTATATTCCAGATTTAAGTAGATTTCATGCCCGGGTGGCCAAACAACAGTCTTCAGTTTTTTTGGTTTTTTTTTTTTTTTTTTCAATTGAAAAGAAGTATTGTCTGCATCAGTAAAATTATACTGTGTGTGAGTGTGAATATCAATGTGTGTATGTGTGTGTTTCTATCCTGTAACTGTTACCGTAATGTCATAAAGTGAGAAAACTGTGACCAAGTGTCAACTGTACCACTTGCTGCACTCTTGCACATGAATTCAGTTTCTAAAATTGAGTTCTTCCAGAAATCTTGTTGATAAAAATACCAACTACAACCATTCAGAAAATTCCCCCCTGCTCCTCTGTAGCAGATTGCATCAAGTATTACTAAATTGACCTTTAGGTATTACATAAGATCAGTGTTTAGAAAGAAATAAAATGACAGACATTCAAGTAAGGGTGCGCATTTATAGTGTTATTGTCAGGAAAGGGGAGTATTTCTTTTCTGAGCACCTGATATTGATGTCTATGGAGATGTAAGTCAATAAAAGGAAGTTGGTTCTATGAAAAAACAAACAAAAAGGGTAACATCTTTCAATTGTGTGTGTAGGTAGTGTGATCCCAGTTTAAGTAACACTATACATATCACACTGAAATAGGACTGTCACACCCAACCCATGTGGTTAAAAGGGCCAAATCAGACATTGGGTGAGACAGAAAAGGGTGGTGAAGAGCTGACACACTTGGATTGAGACCTGGGTAACCCATGCTGCTGCTGTGCTTCGCCCAGATGCCCCAGGGCACAGCACGACACCTACCTTTGTCTTGGGAGGTTTGGGCTAAGACTTGTCCTCTGCTCATGGTCAGCAAGACACACTACAGTGAGAAGATGAGCCCAGGTCTCTCGTGTTCTAGTCTCCTCCTCAGTGGCGCCTTGGGTGCTCAGATTTGGGTCCTTTTCCCAGACAGGAATGATATTGCTTAAGAAGCCTTCTGACCCTGACCAATTTTACTTATCTCTTCTCCTTATACAGATAAAGCATGACTCCTGCAAGGCCCTGGGGCCTTCGTAACACGATGTGAAGTGCAGAGCTGGCATCCCAGCTGGTGATTTCTAGCTCTTAAAATGCCCCTGAGGGAACAATGCCCCTTCTCGCGGTTTATGGTCTAAGGCAGAACGAGGCCTGTGGACCAAGCGAGGCACTTTGAATGGTCTGTCCCTACAGCTTGAAGTCGGCTGGCTCCCTCCCTTTACCTCTCTGTGTTATACAGATGAGGGCTCAGGGTGCTAGAGGATTCATAAGATCTCTTTAGAAGGAGAGATGATTTACAAAAAAAAAAAAAATCACCAGGATCTAGTTTCCATTTAAGAATTGCCAGTCTTTTGTATCATCCTGAATATTAATCCACAGGACTCAGAGCTCGCCAGGAAGTACCAACTCTCTTCTGCCCGCTATGAAGACCTAGTAGAGATGAAATTCTTGTTATGGTAGAAAAACTTCAGGATTCATTTTTGAAACTGTATTTGTGCATATGCAGTGTAGATTTTATAGTGTGTTGTGCTTTCAAGATCTAAGTCATATATAACAAATCAAGGGACAATGGGGCTGACAGCACTAAACTTGGTGCTTATTAATATTCTAAGAAATATCTGTGAAGTATCATCACCATGTATGTGTAATACTACCTTCATTTAAAAATGTTTAAGATGAGTTGGATTCACTTTGACAATTTTCATATTATTGCTTAACCCAAATGACTAAAATATTCTCCCCAATGAGCACACTCATTAGATTTACCGTTGGTTAGTATCATTCATTAATTGTTCCCTTAATGAGACCCATTAATTTAAAGATGATTTAAATTTAAGTATGTTTCATAAGGTCCAACATCAGAGGTATCTACTTTCCTCTGAGGATAGCATCTTTGCCCCACTGTGCATTTTGCCATCACACATCTTCAGGAAGGGCCAGATTCCCAACCGGCTCAGTTTCTTCAGAGTAATGTTGCATCAGTCCTAGACAAACAGTTTCCTTTGAGATAGGTAGAGCTATCTCCAAGAACCTCTCATTTCTCATTACATATGAGATATATGTAAAAGAAATATAAATCTGGGAGATGCTGTAGACGTATATCTACACTTGAGATATTTCCCAAGCCTCTCTGTCATTTTGAGTCAGGTCTATCTGGTATTAAATGTCAAGGAGTTTTTGCTCCCTAACCCACTCTGCAGGAAACAGGTCCAGCCACCAGATGAGAATTAGGCCCTGGATGAGTAGCACTCTGGTTACTTCCTGTTGATTAGTTTCTGCCATTTCATATCCGTAAAAGAGACCACCAATACCATGCGCAAAATTAGATTTCTCACACTCTAACTGTATATTTGTATGATATTTTAAAATCTCCTAAATGCTGGGCAATGGCTATTAACAATCGTCTTGCACTGGCCTTCTGATGAAATGTTAACAATGCCTATTGTAATATAGACAAAACATTCTATCTACTGATTTGGGCTGAATGTATGTAAATAGGTTTTAAAAAAGTCAGATGTTTAAGCGCAATGGCCTACAAATCAGTAATTTTCAGATAGGAGAGTTTCTTTACATTGCTATGGTATCCTAAAAGCTGTCTTTGTGTAAACTTACTGTACTAGGCCTACTGGGGACCAGAGTCCCCAAGAAAGGAAACCTTTTCTTGTAATAATATGAATCGAGATACCAGATTATCTGGATTCTTATTTCCAATGTTTCAAGTGGAAAGCATAACTCTTTATTGTCTGTAAATCTGACATTATTACTTTTCCTCTTAGAAGAATATTGTATTGTTAGATGTTTGTTGAGCTAGTAACATCGTTGCAACCACTGCAATATCTTTGTTAGTAATCTGTATAATACTTTGTATACAAGTACTGGTAAGATTGTTATTAAATGTAGCTTCAGTCATTAAATTACTATAGAAAGTAGTACTTCTGTAATATTTACAATGTATTAAACCCACAGTATATTTTATTTCAATGATGTAATTAAACTGTTACTTATTCAAAGAGAAAACATCTCATCATGTCTATTGTCCAAAATTACCTGGAATCAAATAAAAATTTTAGATTATCATGAAGAACATAAAAATGCCTTTGAATTCTGCCTTATTTCACATTCCAATGGTAAAACACTCGGGATTTAATTTCTAAAAGATTGCTGAACAATTAATTTGTTCCCTAGAAAGCACTTATGACTTTATTTGAAAGTGGGAAAAGATTGGATCAATATATTCACTTTTAACATCAGAAAAGCATGCACAAGTCCATCATTTACACAGTAAAGCATAAAAGGCTATCATACCTTTTAAAAGCATTATTTCATTAAAGATCCTAATGATTTTTCAGTAAATTAAAGCAAACATACTGTATAGTCATAATTTATAAATTAAATTGGGACTTAGCAGACAGTAAAATACCAATTTAAGGAATATAAACATCTTACACGCTGAACCGCATAAAAGAGATTAGTGCCTTTCAACAGTTTGTAAAAACTCACATAATTTCTATTTGAATAATAATTTTATAATGAATAAAAAATGAAGTTTAAATACTATTACTGTCTGACATAAAGTATGTTTGTAGTTAATTTTGAAAGAATTTTAAATTTAAATAATGAACTGGTGAATATTTGAAAATAGAGAATGAAATATTGAAAATAGATTATCTTTATTTCTTAATAACTTACCAAAATTGACAGTTCTGCCTCTTTTAGTAACAGTGGCTAGCTGCACTGACTGAATGTTTCCATCAAAAAGCAAATTATATATATACTTAGCGCTTAAATTTTATTCTAGGACTTGATGGGAGAAATAATTTATTTCAGTATCTTCACATAGCATCTTTTTTTTTTTTTTTTTTGAGTTGGAGTCTCACTCTGTCACGCAGACTGGAGTGCAGTGGCCACTCCCGGCCACCAAGCCTCGACCCGCTGGGCTCTGGTGATCCTTCTGCCTGAGCCTTCCAAGTAGCTGG